TGCGGACGAGACCTTTCGACACCGAGCGCAGTATTATTTACTTGAAGAACCATGACCAAAGTCAGTAAAACGAGAATAATTAAAACTGAAACTCTCATTTCAATGGCTCGGCCTTAACGAGAGACTTCACGTTGTGCAACGCGCCAAACCAGAAACGAACTGCCGGTGCTTTTCTGCGGACAAGCAAATCTTCTCATTACGTTAATTACCGCAATCATCACAAGAAGCGCTTTCTCCGCGATAAAATTAATTATTTCCATCTTTGCACGGGTCGCGATTTGCACAGAAAGTGCAGCGGCAATTTATAATATATACTTTCCTGCCGGCGCGATTCATTCAAAACGAGTTTCTTCTTCCTCTGCCCACAATTGCACACAGAAAAGGAAGAAGCAGTGGAATGAATAATTTACAAACCACCCAATACAGGTAGAAATCGCGCAATTACACCTGCGAGAGATGAAATGTGGGTTAAAGGCGTTTTGTTGCGAGGCGCACACGGCGGCACTTTATGCTCGATTCTATTTGCTTAAAAATCGCAAATGTGGGTTAGCCTTTCAACAATTGTTTGCGTACACACTTAAAATGCTAATGACCGCACCTGGAAACGGGTATTGAGGTGCAATCGCAGGAAGTTGCGCCAAAAGTGAAATAAAAATTTACGCTGAAAACAGAACTAATCGCTGGGAGCATAAAAAAATGATATTTTTTATCCTTTCAAAACGACATAGAAACTAGGTTTTGTCACTTATATCCGGCCATTATATAAGATGATTAATTACATTTTCCACCTACATAATGAGTTATTTTTAATTTAACTTAATTGTGGTGCTGTTCCGGTGGATGAGTTATTTTTTAACTTGGAATTATTAGCAGAAACTTTGGTATTGGTTATGACTTTTTATCCAAAAGTTCATGGTTTGCCTCCCAGCAATCGTTTTTCTTTTGATCTAAAATTTTTGAATAACAAATAAAAAACAAATAATTTTTTTAGAGTGGAGTGCCGCTATTAATTATTAATTATGAGAATATTAATTAAAATAGCGCTTAATATTTTTTACATACATATTTTATTTTTAAATGATAAATATATTAATTTATTTAATTTAATATTTTCATATAGCATAGATTCTTTTCTTTTCAAGGTTTTGAACTTTATATTTTTTGCATTATATATGAATCTATGATATTATTATGAATTGTTAGAATTCGCAGCGAATAACAATTAGCAACATTGGCTATCTTTTATTGCACCAAAAAAAGAACCATTATTTTTTTATTTAATTAAAACTTAACTGTAATTGATGCTACAATAAATAAATAAAATTATAATATTAAATTTTTCCCCAAAATTTTATAAAACGTGGCAATTTAAGTTGAGATTTCATTTTTCATTTGATTATTTTCTATTGCGTCATTTTGTGATTGAGGATTTCTTTACAGTGAATAAAATTTCAAAGCAGTTTAGTTGTTTTGATCGGTTAGGTGGCAATCGAAAGTATGCGCTCAAGCGCGATTTAGGCCAAATGATTTCAATGCCACAAGAAAAACGATGGGAGAAATTACGTGCAGAAGAGGTCTAGGACAGTGGGAAGGGAAAGGGATATTATGCGCTCGGCGCGTATTGATGTAACACTCTCTGTGCTATTGCAAAAAGAACCTGTCTCGAAGCTCGCCAGCTTTTTTTTCTCTCATTCCTTTTCTACAATAAGTGACTTGCATTCGATTGAATCGCCAAATAGCAAACACAGATGCTGCTGTTTTGCAGCTCCGAGTTAATGTAATTATACTTGTGGCCTTGTGCGGAGAAAAAAAGTAATGGCAGCATCCGCGGGCGGATTTCGCGTCTTTTTTACTATTATTTTTATATATTTTTCTTTTTGGCTCGCGGTGTCAACGAGCGAGTGAAATATTATCTTCTGCCGTCGCTTTTTCTCCTGCTTGGGACGTCAAGAAATTAAAAACTTTCCCCGCTTGTGTATTTGGAGAAGCGGAGCAAACGCACACGCACAAACACCGCTAATTCTCACCAAGCCAGCTGCGCCGCTACGAAAAAAAGGTGTTATACCTTTGGAGTTCTCAGAATAGGCCAGCCGACTGACTAGTTTTGTATTTCTCGATTCCCTCGATTCTCTTTTTTCGCTCGACCAGCGTTTCTGTCTGTGTGTATCCTGAAGTAGCGAACAAGTCTATCATTTACAGGTTCGAGTCCCCATTAATTAAAAGGAGCTGAAGTCAATGAGTTATTTAACGTTTAAAAATGTAGTTGTTTTATCGATCAATCAAATCGACTTCTTAGTTTTGTTGAAATTTGTTGCCTTTATGATATTTTAAGAATTTAAAAGTTTAATTATTTAATAAAAGACTAATTTCAATAATAATTTGATTGATTTAAGAATCAAAAGAACTTTATTTTAAAACAGATAAATAAAATTTATTCCAAGTGCAAAAACATTTTTTTCAATATTTGAAAGTTTTACTTGCATGTCTAGATAGATCGGCTTAAATTTGAACAAAGAACGACGAATTTCAACGGAAAATTTACTTTCAGCGTTCTAAAACGGGTGCTATTAAATTAATGAGGGCATTCCGAGCGCCTGTAACATGTCCAGAGCTATTGTTGGCTTCAGGCTACACCGGCTCTTGCCAAAATGCTAAATGAAAAAATAATATCTACTTTCAAACAAGTAGTTGGATTTTCAAATTGTTGCAAAACCGTTAACATAGTGGAGAGCAACATTCATTATTATAAAAACAAACCTATGATGGATACTACGAAATTTATTTATAGCCTCAACTGTTCAACAATAGCTCACGGGCTATGTTAGGCTCTGGATCGAATCAATCTCTGTCGGATAAAAATAAAATAAATCAAACTTTTCATTTTAATGTACTGGGTTTTTTCTTGATTAATCTAATGGTTAAATAATAATTTAAAAATTAATGTGATTGTTTGACAACACAAAAAAATTTATCTAAAGTGTCTTTAATTTGCATTATTTCTTATTAGATGTATTACAAAATTGCTCTTTTCTTTTATACTTTTACCATTTATTTTTGCAACTTTTGGCAAGAAAATGATCTCCACGTTTTTGACAGCCTGGAAACATAGAATATGCGAGAATCGCGTCTAGACAATCAACGTGTTTCAAAACCGCAGGTGATCGGTGTCGTGTCTCGCTAATTATGGTTTCTCCACCGCACTACAATGTGCAATACTGGACCGTCGTTTTTCTGTCCAGTGTTTTATTTTTCCAGATGTTACTCCGCTCGTGAATAATTGCGGTGGATTCGAATTTGTTTTCAGTGGCAATGAAATTCCCGACGGAGGCTGATGGCGAGCGAAAGAGCTCTGGTGTTTTTGTAAGTGCTGCGGCCTCGAGGCTCCACTCGAGACGGAATAGAGTGAACGGGGCGGAATATTAATAATGTGAAAAATTCCCTGCGCGGGGCAGTTATAGTTGTAGGAGTAATTAATTAAGGAGGCGAAAAAAACAGGTCTGTCAACTTGTGCCACCGCCTAGAGAGAGAAAAAGACGGCGACTGAGTGATCACGTGTGGTGTACCGTTTAAATTTCAAGTGGGCACCATAAAAATGACACATATTCGCCAAGTACGAATCTTGTCTTGGTCCTGTTAGAAAAGACAGCTTGGATTTGAATTGCATCGGATGAGGAGAGAGATTCTAAAAAAAGTTATAAATATTGATACAAAAATTATAAATGTTACATTTATTTGATTAGATAAGCAACATGACACGGGAGATTTTATTCTTATTTAGATATTAAAAGCTAAATTAAATATGTTAATTACTATTTTTTTTCATGATATTAAAAAAACAAGCAGCAATTTTTTTCCATTAAAAGCAGTTACAGTATGTATTTTTCTTGTTGAAAATAATTAAATTTAAAGCATTTTATAATAATTATGAGCAAAATCATAGTGAAAAAGAAGCAAATTTGGAATTAAAAAAAAATCATCTAGATTCAATAAAATTGTATGAAACCTTGGTTCAAAAGAATGAAAAAGTGCACAAATTTTAACTTAAATTATGGAATGCTTTCTCTAACGACTCAATAACTCAAAACCTTTCTCTAAATAAAAATTACAATTATTATAATTATTTAATTTTAACGCTTTTTATCCATACGCTATTTTAAAATTTAATTTAATTTTGACCCCATTTTAAATATCTTTTTAGTTTCACATATTAATTTTTGACAAACTCAGTGGCAGAATTATCATGTTAATTATCTATGTTTAGCCGTAGATAATTAAGCCATTAAACCCGGTCATTCATGCAAACGACACAATTGGCGAAATTAACCTGCTGACGCTGGCCAAAGCAGCTTGTTTGCACTAATTCATAATGTCTAGATAGTTACAATTTCACATTGCGCGTGTACTCGCCCGTAAATTACGTAATGAATAAATTCATTCAGGCGTAATACTCAGACAGAGCTTGTCTGGAATTGGGTCGAACGAATCGCCTCCTCACTCGGACCAAAATTGAGCTGCCGAACGGATGTCTGCCTATTTTCAAACGAATGCACCGTTCCTTTTTCAATGATGGACGTGCGATGGAATGTATAAATCCACTATTAAATTATGCAAATTGTGCACCAGCGAGTCCCGATGCAACTGGAATGAATAATGAGCGGAAAAAAGTTAGAAAGTATGCATCAGGCAGTGCATGTACGGACACAGAATTGCCATGCAAGGAAGGAAGGCGTCTCTTGTTATTTACCAAATAAGAGACAATCAACAACGGCGGCGGCGGTCACAAGATTCAATGTCTGCCCTTCATTGCACAGACAGGCCGTTCCCCGAACGAAAACAATGCGATCTTCGGCTAATACAAAACTCCACCTCGGAAGGCCCAACCCTTCAATTACGCAAAATTGGCCCATTGTATCAAGCGAGAGTGAAAACTTTGCCGAGTTTGGGGTCGGGGGTGGTCCACCCTGTTGACATAGGAAAGAATTTTGTAATTTGAAACTCACCTCTGGGGTCGATTCTCGGTTCGAATGGCGGGTTGCTGGTTATTGTTCTCGAAGGTCTCGTTCAGACGATCATATCGTCCCGGACACTGCTGCTCACTGATTATCCGGACACACACGAGGAGCGAATTGAGTGATCCACACAGATCAATACCTCGATGGCGAATCGCCCGCGCCCTGCTCCTCCTTCTCTAGCTCGGCTCTGCCAATTTGCGTCGGGCGTCCTCGGAATGCAATTCGCGCGATGAGCCCTTTCGGGGTGTTTTGTGTCCCAGCTAAGGAGCGTCCGACCGACCGTGGTGTCCGTCTTTGTTGCTCGTTCTAGGCTCACCACCACTTACTTACTAGCAGTGTGACGACGCTCGCAGCAGCTTTGCCATGTTGCCAGGCGCAGAATCAAAAGTGCTGCTGCTTTTTATTCAGCAACACAGCCCCCAGTCGATAATTTATGTTATTTAACTCGCAGCCTCGGCCACAGGAGGCTCGCGATCGCCCAGCGCGGTTCGGTTGGTCACCCTTAAGTCTTCTCTTGTCCGTGTAGAATGGGCAGGCCCTCGTGTCCCGCCAGCCAATGCTCGGTGGTGCCGATTTGCAGATTCCGTTTGCCAATGTGCAGGTCGGTGCAGGTTTGCAAAAATGCGGTCGTGCCTGCGTAGAGCCTCCGTGGTGGGAATGGAGGGAATGGAATGTTGCGTGCCCTGCTCTTGCGGCGGCTGCAGCAAAGTTGCCAACACAATTGTGGCGAGAGTCGAGAAAAGGAACCAAATTTTTGCAAAATCCATTGCCCACGATACAGAAGGGATAATTCATTATTTGAAAAAATTGTTAAAATTTTTTTGTAGTTTTATACATTTTATTTGTTTGAATTGAAGAAGAGGAATAGTTTTGCTCTAATTAAAAGGTAATTATTTAAATTATGACTATAGAGTTAAATAAATATAATAATAATAATAATTAATAATCATATTTATTTGCAACTTTTAAAGTAATTTTTGAATTCAAATTTCGTTACAAAAGTGAACAAAACGAAAATTAATTTTCATATTTTTATATTTATTGTATATTATCTTCTTTTGGCATCAATTAAATTAATTAATTTCAATTTTTATAACAACATTCATAATATTCATATTAGGAAATTTTTATTCGATTGCAGTTCAACTGTGAAAATTGATCAAGAACGCCTTTGGTGGCACAGTCAAAACCCATCAGCATTTTATAATAGAAGCCATTTTCTTACAATTATTGGTAAAAATTATAAAAATTACTGACTTCATTATTTGACTATTCCATTTTTAAGTACATAGCCCAATAAGCCCGTTAAACATAAACGATTTTCTTACTTAGAGAAATTACAAAAAAAAAATGCAATAAAATAATGGCCAAGTTCATGTAACTTCTTGAAACCAATTCAAACTAAAAGAGAGCTAAAGTTAAGAAATTCAAACAAAATATAAAATTAATCAACAGTAGATAATAAAAAAATCACTAAAATATTTGATTTTTATCTTTTATAAATAAAAATTCCGAAAAATTCAACAATTCATGCAAATTAATATATTTTTAATCATTAAAATTGAAAAAAAAAACTGCAAAAAACACATTATGTGATCATTACTCAATTTTCGCCTTCCGTGTATACTTTTAACTTTTACGCAAATGAAGTTTCCCTTTCAACTTTGTCACTTTCATCCTAACAAAAGCGCAAAATCGTCCCACAGATATAAATCTTTTTCCCAGTGCCTTATATATTTTATAAGCTGTCTCTCACACACCACTGCCATTATCCGGCAAACAAAATGGAAACTCCATTACATATATCCGTCATCGCCAGCAGCTTTTCCCAGAGACATTCATTCGTGACGACAGCTTTTGTCGTAGACAACACCAGAGAGGACTAATGACATTTTCCTCCTCCGCTCTTTTATTGTGTCAACTCCGTGGCGCGCCTTTTTTTGCGCCTCCCTGCCCGAAATCGCAGTTTTCGCTTGTCTTCGAAACATAATGTAAAATCATTGCAGGTTCGCCGATTGTGCTCCAGTTGCGCCAGTGCGTGGACACCAATCGTGCAGACCTTGAACTGCAGGTGGTGAACCGTCCGACAGATGGCAGCACTGATTCGTCGGTGCACTTTCGGTGCTCGTAGTAAGCGAATCGTCGTGCCCAGCCACTAGCCAGCACTACTACTACTACTTCGACCAAGAATGGAAGCTGCTGACTGGTGAGTTATTTTGCCAATTTTAATTACCTCCCTAGAGCACTTAAGGGCATGACACTTCCCGCAAATGCATCGCCCTGCTGCAGAAATTAGCGTCGGACCGACTAAAATGCACAAATTTCTTTTTCTAAAAAGGACATTTAGTTTAAAATGGCTCATCCCACTGCTACTAGAGGTGGCTGGATGAGTTCTGGTGCACCTCCCCTTAAGAATATAATCTGATTATTATTATAAATCATTTTTTTCCTACCAGTCGAAATTTTATTTTAAAATATAAAATATTTATTCCATTGACGTGTTTCCAAAATAAATTTAATATGATTTTTTGCACATTTTGACAGTTTATATTATAAAAGAAAAAAGTCAAGGTAAAAAAGCAGCAGAGGTCGACGGAGGAGCGCGGTTATTTACGTACGAAAGCAATCAATAAACCAATAAGTTTATTTTGTGCGCCTGCTGCGATAGTGTAAAAATGTTCTTTTTTTTAACAGCGCCTTTTTTTCTCAAAGAGTAATTTTGCCCTTCGCTGTACTTGACACTTTGACAGGGTGTATAGATCGGCAAAAAATCGAGAGGATTTTTTACATTTTTTACTCTTATCGCGAAAGTGCTTTTTTTGTGAGAGAGCAGGTGGGAATCTGCGTATTTTATGGGATTTTAAATCAATTAGATGCGGCATAAAGTGATGGGAAACGACCCCTGCAGGGGCTGTAAAACCACTACTCTGGAATAATTTATTTCCCGCATATACATATTTTTAGCTATAAATGTTTTGATGCATACATTCCTGCGCTGATCTCAAACCCCGAAGAGAGGAGGTATATATAATTATGCTAGGTCAGGGACGTTTGCATTGATCCTCTTATTATCTAGTTGCTGCAGCAGCACCAGTTGTTACCCGCGGCAATTTATGTATATATTCCAACAATTGATTGAAACTTCAAGGTACTTGCGATATACATTTACAAAAGAAATCCTTAACACAGAACGTTTTGTTCCATTTATAATTTATACAACGAATTTGCTGTGATTTGCTGAAAATTTTACTTCCGGAAAATTGATAAAATTTACTTTTCAGTGGAATTGTCAGAATTATTATGCACGGCATCAGCAAGTTTTTCATATCGGTTTAAAGAATAAGACTTTGCTTTCGTAAGCATAACAATAACACCTTTCGTTTCCATCACAAACAATTTCTATAATGTGCTCCGAGTTATAGATGGTGTGTTATCAAAGGCTTCTGCAGCGACTTATGTTGATTTCAAGAAAGAAAAAATTTAAAAACCAATTATAAATTACGGGTATAGAAAGCCATAATGCCCATAATTATTAAATCTTTTGCTAAGCTCATTTTCTACGATTTCACATCAGGTTTCCGTTATATTTAAATTTTTTTCACGTTAAGTGACTTGAGTTATTGTGATTTCCCAGTTATTTAAATATGAAATACATAATGGAATTCGGTTACCGGAAAATGTAAATAGAATCAAGTGTGTAATAATGGTAATGAGATACGTACAAGCGGACACCGTTAAAACAGCCTCCTTGTGTATACAGCTCAAAAGTTAGCTCTGATATATAATATTTCATTTCTCTTAACTCGGTGTTGAATTACAGTGCATTTTAATGTAAAAAAGAATCTGTAATGACTATGCTAAAAAATATTGCCAAACTAATTACAAGTCATGATTGGGAAACTGAGACATTTTTTATATTAGATTTCGGTTAGACTTTAAATTACTTAAAACTCAGTTTCATTCATAAATTAATAGGCTTCCCAAAGTTGCCTTCACCTCATAAAAAAAAATAAAATAATCTGATCTCATAAGGAAATTTCTTCCGAAAACGCAGTATTTTGTTTTTGTCATTTTTTTAATTAAATATAAAACTAATATCATCTAATAAATTATATAAAGCAAATATTACGGTTTGGATGAATATTCGTTTTATTTTTCTACTGGAAAATGACTAAAAAATTCATTGAGAGATTATTTAATTTAAAATGTTAGCAATTCCTTAAAACATTGACACCTTAATTTGAGTTTCATGTTTTTCATCATGTTCACAGGGCAATTATACTGAAGGAAGGGAACACATGCATTTAAAAAAAGAGAGAAATAATAACATTGAGCAAATAAAATCAATGAATAGCGGTTCTTAAAAATTTTCGAAGTCAGAAATTGATTTCCCTCAAGGATTTAAAGAGGATGGTACCACCTTAGGGCAGCAATATCCTCCACAGAAACTGATAGTTTAGGCCACAAGGATCATTTTGATAACCAGAAAATTTGGGGTCACCCCATAAATTTTTGAGAAAAACGCGTTTGAATTTAACATGGTTCGCTTATGGACAATTTTTATGAAAATCATTCAATCCCATTTGAAGTAAACGAAACTAACTTTGGCAAAGGTGTGTGACCCACCAACATGTTCCTTGATAACCCTGCTACAGATTTGGCACGAGAAAATTGGGGGTCACCCCATAAATTTTTGAGAAAAGTTTAATTGAATGTTAAAAAACGTGGTTTTTTGCATTCTTCTCGTTTCGGAGAAAATCAATCCAATTTTAGAGCGCTTAGAATTTATTGATTTCTATAATCAAATATCATGAGAGTTCATAATTTGGTTCGTACAATTCTCAAGTAATGAAAATTGTTCATATTTTTCAAAATCCAATATGGCCGCCGGAGAAACATAAGGGTTTATTAAAACTGCTGCCAAATTAATTTGGGTGAAGATTTTTTAATTTCCTTGAGAGAAAGATAGAGTTAATGAACCAAGGTATCTTTTCTCAATGGTCAGCAAGTTTCTAGGTCAAAGGTCATTGACCCTGGCCAAAGGTCAAAATATAAAGTTTTATGCCCCTTTAAAATAGGCAATCTGACAAAAAATCCAAGATAGCCATTAGATGAGCCTTGTCATTTTGCATCCGAATACAAAAGTCTCAAAATGTTTGAACAAGCCGTTTAGAAAATATTATTGAGATATAAACAGGGTCCAAACGACTGAAATTATTCCGTTCGGATGAGTCAAAAATTAGAAAATGATGCTTTTTTCATCATATTTTAAACAAATTGAGTATGTTTTATTGTATTCCATTAAAATTTGAAGGATTTGGAAAACATTTTGTAGAAGGTTTCATCTACTTTAAATTTTCAATTAAACTTTTCATTTGAACAAAGGCCGAAAAGATAATATTTTCAAATTGTATAAAATATATTGCTCAATTTTATTTGAGTTTATCTTTAATTCGGTTCAAATTTCAAATAATTTTCCACTTCCGACCCTGGGACCGTCCTTTTGGCAATATATTGACCTCGGCCATGGTTTTTGCACTCGCGGCCGTCAGCTGGAAATTCGCGAGCGCTTTCAGGTTCTCGCAACGCGCTTAGGGAATTTTCCAACCGCGCGGCACCAAAGTCCTTGGCCAGGGCTGCACCGTCCTTGCCCCTGGTATATGTGCCGGTGAGCAAAAGCCTTGGTGTGTCGAGCGCGCCGGAAAATCGGAGCGCAGGCACGGACGGAGCTCGCAGCTAATGTCATTTATCGTGGCCTCATAACGCAGCAGCAGCAGCAGCCGCGAGTACGGCACCATAGACAGGGAGGGCCTTAAGGGCCGGGCAGAGGCAGAGAGTGGTGCATGCGCCACAAGACCCATGCGACACAGCTCGGCTGCTTTTCCACTGGCGCTCCGTTGGCGCTGCCGACTGCTCCCTTGCTCGATCGCCCAGTTCAGCTTGGCCGATTGATTAGCAGCAGCCAGGCGCTGAAGGTCTCAACACCGACCGTCCGACTCGTGCGTGTCCTCCGAGAAGGTCGCTCCGACCCCCACTTCGCAGGTGCGTCGGCCCTTCCGCAGGTGCAGCCTGCCCGCGGCCCTCCGCGCATCGATTCGAAACCAAAAAACGCCCCCGGCCGCTGGACCGACTCTCTCGGCGCTGCCACCCCATGACCTTATCCACGTCAATGAGTTGCACTGAAGGTGAGCCGAAACAAACCGTGTGTGTATTTTATTTTGGTGCGCGCCCCACGGCCGCTTTTTTGGCACTCGCAGAATCGATTTTTCGCCTGCCGCGGCTAATTAGGACGAAATTTACTTCAAAGCCTTGCGACGCCTCATTAGGCCTCGGCCTAAAAATCTGTCCTTTTTCTCTCTCTCCTGTCAACACGAAAACAAGGTCTTCGAAAAGACTCAATGTTTCAGTTCGTACCTAAAAAAAATACAAAGTAAACAAAAAACACTCTGCACCTTGGTTACAAAATTTACCAGCTGAAGTAATTTAAAAATAAATGATTTAAATTATAAATACACAATTTTAATTTTTAAACATTTTAAATTTTTTTTATATTTATTGCAATTTTTTTAATAAGAATTTTTGATAAAACCGATCTTTTTTATAATTATTTTTCTTTTCAAATTTCATTTACTAACTATTTTGAAATTTTTTGGGTCATTTTGTTTAAATTAATTTCGTTGAACATTCTCGATCGCCAAACGCTAAACAGTCTCTCCCCGATTTTTACCCGGTGCCAAGTGTTGACCAACTTTTCGATACGATTGCATTCCGACTGCCGATCGAAAAGCCAACCGGCCGCTCTACACCGTTGCTGCTTATTGGGGTGTAAAAATGCAAATACTCGGGCCGTGCGTTAGAAACAATGCAGGACGACCTCAGTGTGACCTTGGCTCGGTGCACAACACACAATTGCCAAAACAATCCCCAAACGCTATATCGTACTCTTTTGCAAATTCGCTTCCTTCCGAGGAAAAGACGCGCTTTATTACTTTTTTTGCGACGCTTTCGGCGACGCTGGAATTGAATACAATTTTCTGTGTACGATTCCCTTGATGTGCGTGGGCGCCCCGTACGCCCAGCGCAGGCGTCATCGCGTGTGCGTGTCCTTCTCCGGGGCTATTCTATGCATCTTTTATTACGCACAGCAGAACACTTTCTTATCGCACTTGTGCCATCGGAATCAAGATCGTATTGATTGACCCGCTCTTTCTCTCACCATTAATATCAACGAATCGGTTGGCCCTTTTGGGCACGCACCCCAATCGAGTCCAACTCGAAAGAATAAAAAGAAAAGGGCCACGTCAGCAGCCATTCGCTGCGGCGAGCTATGATTAGCCCAAGTTTGTTGCTCTAGCTATTCCATTACTGCAATTAGTCGCGGCTTTCGTAACCAGAGGATTCGCTGGTAATGCCAGAAAGCCTCTCTCTCTGCGCCGCAGCGCCTGCTTTTATATACTTTTTATTTATATATTTTTCGAGCATCACATGCAAAAACTGCACAGTGTGGATGAAAAAAAGTGCCTACGTTTTGAAAAGTTAAAGGCGAAAATCGATTGCGGCTCACTTTTGAGAGTGCACTCGATAAAAAATAGCTCTCGCAAGATGCGCGCAAAGTGTTCTCTGAACTCTCTTTTGAGCAACAACCGGCCGCACCAACGAGATACACCCCCGGCGAGTCTCTTTCCTCTGTTGCAGCCCCGGCGCGTACTTTCTGTGCTAAGTGCATTATACTGTGGAATTATATCCATGCAGCACGAAAATGGACGAGGAAAAATACATATTATAGCTACGCTGCTGAAAAGGGTTTTCAACCCCGTCGTTGCCGCAACCCCTTCCATTCAGAGAGTTCCATTTACTGCGCACTTGATGACTTTTTAATTTGAATATACATGATTCAAATTTCCTTTGCAATTCTACACTTCAAAGGAAAAGAATTTCTCTGCTGACTGAAAAATCCGACGAAGACTTTTTGGAAAGTCTTCAAATCAAAAGAAAAAAAAGTACTAATTTTTTGTATTCCATTTAATAATGAAAGACATTTTTTGCCTCTGCTACAGCTCATCTAAAAAAATTAAATAATATTTAATCTAAGTTTGCGATATTGGAAAAATAGTGTTTAATTCAATTTTGGGTTGTGACCAGCCCCAGCCACAAAGGCCTCGTGGTAGGCGCGCAGAGCGACTTTGCGCGGCACTGCCGCGAAGCTTCACGAGTGACGTAACTGGGGAAGGAAAACCCATGCCGCTCCCAGCTGCTCCCATCTAAATGCATTGTTTTGCACTCTTTGCCGCGTTTTCCGGTCAAATATTGTCGATTCAAGGCGGTTTTGAACATAATCTGCAGGTGTCAGACTAGTTCGGAACCTAGGGAAGCTTTGGCAACGAAGAAAAAGCATCTCAAATCAGCTGGAAGCACGAAAAGCCACGAAAATACGGCCAATATCTCCGTGACGGCGAAGTTGCGGCTCAAAAAAGCAGCGGAAAACTCGGATTTTTTACGTTTTGTGAGTCGATATGTGCTTCAGTGCCGGGATGTCAACAAATTAAGTCGTTTCTGATCATATTTGTGCATGTCCGATTGTTTTTTGTGAGAGAAAAGCGGAAACGAGTTTAGCAACCGGACAAGTTGTCCCACGGAATTAACCAATATCTCGCTCTGATTCAATGTTTTAGAATTTTGGCGATTGAAAAGTTTATATTTTTAGAATAATTAAAGCATGAGGAAAATCGCTGTGTTATTTATTTTTTAATCCGAGCAGCCGTTGTCTCGCTATGAGCATAATTACGCGGCGGCCACTGCTTTGTTGCTTCGCTCGGCTCTCTCTCGCTCGAGTCGCCCGACTGCTGCACTCGCGGGTGGAGAGCGGCGCGCTCGATTAATTAGACGTTTGCGCGAATTTTTTATTTTATTAGTAAGCGTAGAGATAAATCGTTCAAATTTTCAGCATTGGTAGCAAACTAACTGAATTAATTTTTTATTTTTTATTCTTAAAAAAATATTTATCTGGAGCAAAGTCATTAATGTTTCCGCGAGAATTTTGTTCTTTTAATTTTTAAATTAGACAAAAAATTTTAAAAGTACAAACCCTAACAGAAAATTGTAGCTAATTAAATTCTCTACAATTTACTTTGCATTCGTTTTGTTGTCAAAATTTTTTTAATTTACCAACGGGATGACCAAAGTCAAAACATTACTTTTTCTCATTGAAATAAATTTTTTAGATTTTTTCTGAGATAGCCAATCGATTGGAAATTTAATTTTGATTTAAGAACCAAAATTTCATCACAATATGTTGAGCCGTTTAGAAATCACAAAGTACTAACTGATGCCCCCTAAAACTGCCGTCGAGGCTGATTAGCAGGTTTTAGTTCAGACGCTCTTATTTCTAAACGGCTCAACATATTGTGATGAAATTTTGGTTCTTAAATCAAAATTAAATTTCCAATCGATTGGCTATCTCAGAAAAAATCTAAAAAATTTATTTCAATGAGAAAAAGTAATGTTTTGACTTTGGTCATCCCGTTGGTAAATTAAAAAAATTTTGACAACAAAACGAATGCAAAGTAAATTGTAGAGAATTTAATTAGCTACAATTTTCTGTTAGGGTTTGTACTTTTAAAATTTTTTGTCTAATTTAAAAATTAAAAGAACAAAATTCTCGCGGAAACATTAATGACTTTGCTCCAGATAAATATTTTTTTAAGAATAAAAAATAAAAAATTAATTCAGTTAGTTTGCTACCAATGCTGAAAATTTGAACGATTTATCTCTACGCTTACTAATAAAATAAAAAATTCGCGCAAACGTCTAATTAATCGAGCGCGCCGCTCTCCACCCGCGAGTGCAGCAGTCGGGCGACTCGAGCGAGAGAGAGCCGAGCGAAGCAACAAAGCAGTGGCCGCCGCGTAATTATGCTCATAGCGAGACAACGGCTGCTCGGATTAAAAAATAAATAACACAGCGATTTTCCTCATGCTTTAATTATTCTAAAAATATAAACTTTTCAATCGCCAAAATTCTAAAACATTGAATCAGAGCGAGATATTGGTTAATTCCGTGGGACAACTTGTCCGGTTGCTAAACTCGTTTCCGCTTTTCTCTCACAAAAAACAATCGGACATGCACAAATATGATCAGAAACGACTTAATTTGTTGACATCCCGGCACTGAAGCACATATCGACTCACAAAACGTAAAAAATCCGAGTTTTCCGCTGCTTTTTTGAGCCGCAACTTCGCCGTCACGGAGATATTGGCCGTATTTTCGTGGCTTTTCGTGCTTCCAGCTGATTTGAGATGCTTTTTCTTCGTTGCCAAAGCTTCCCTAGGTTCCGAACTAGTCTGACACCTGCAGATTATGTTCAAAACCGCCTTGAATCGACAATATTTGACCGAAAAACGCGGCAAAGAGTGCAAAACAATGCATTTAGATGGGAGCAGCTGGGAGCGGCATGGGTTTTCCTTCCCCAGTTACGTCACTGGGAAAGCAACAGCAGCGCCAGCAAAACTCGCTCTCCCCCACCACGTCTCCTGCTCATGCGTGGCTGGGTCTGGTTGTGACTGTACAGAATTTATGAGAAATGCCATTTTGATATAAAATTGTATCAAATATCAACTTAAATATTCTATAGTATTCTATTTTTTTGGAAAATATAAGAAATATTAAAATTAATTTTATGTTGAAAATTAAGTCTATTTTATTATTAATATTTTTTCTTTCGTTTCACTCTATTTTTTTTTATTTTAACAATAATAATATTAATACTTTTTTGTGGTCAGGCCAGTAGCTTATTTTATGGGTCGGTGTCCTTTTTTGGGTTGGAACATTAATTTAAAAATTTAAAAATATTTTATTATTTATTGTCTCGTCTTAATTAGATCGAATATGGCAAGAAATTTCACTGGTCTGAGTGGTCTGTACGGACTTTGGAGTGAGTTTGAATTCTTTAACAAATATCGATTGAAACTTGGTGATTATATTTAAATTTAATTTAATACTCAGACCGACAAGTTCTCCTTAGTGACAAAATTTATTTAAATTGCATAACCATGTAACTTGGAAATAATCCAAACTGAATGGAAACCAAAATAATCAGCAAACTATTTTGAGACCGGCTTTTAATTATATTGTCTCGCGAGCAGAGGGAAATTGAATGAAGACGGCCAGGCAATGAATCAAAAAGCTG